CGGTTGAAACAAGTCTTGCTTCATTCACTGCGCTGCCTGCTGTGTTGTGGCAATAAACAAGTACATAACACAAAAACGAAACAACTCATAATTCTGTGTATTTTGAAAACAAAATAAAAGAGATAACACTTAATGGTGAGTTAACCAAGTTAATTTTAATCAGTCAATTGAAGTTAACCGGTTTTACCGAAACATCGTGATGTGGCCGCTTTTTTGGCGTTTTATCGAACTGAAACTGGGCTTACGGTAACCACAGTAATTCATTGAAGAACAATAAATTTTACAACCGAGTTTGGTTAATGTTAAACTACCTTTCTGCGTAGTTAAACTCAAGTTAGTGGTCTCTTACCAGTGCCGTGCATTGTTCTTGTCGCAAAATGTGTAAGTCATCGCGGTGTGTGTGGGGAATGTTGTTTTACGTAGGAGAAATAAGTGCATAAGCTTATGAACATGGCGTCTGGTAAACAACAGCTACAACAAGAAGATACATTACTCAAGCGCAACAATCCGCTCGCCACATAATTCTCCATCGGTAAACTGCTGCTCCGAAACGAGAACATAAATATTGAAAGAATACGGCAAAGTGCTTGAAAGGACTCGATGTTTATACGAAAGGGCTCTCTACAAAAGTCACGCATAGCAGGATTAGTGCTTGCCTCAAGCCGTCACTGATTTCTCGGACAGATCCAATATCAGGGACGATTCAACCGACGGCAATGAAGAATACTCTGACATCTACGGCAAATGAACATCACGGTCGAAAGAACTGCCTTGGAAGTTTGCGTAGTGCGCATCGGAAGGAGGAGGGATTGCCTTATCCGTGAGGGGAGAGAAAGGGAACGAAAAGAAAGAAAGAAGCGAGAAAATAACAACGTGGTCCTCAAAGCCTGCATATTTTTGGTTTCCCCTCCCCCTCCCCCCGATGTCAAGTTCACCCATTTCATAGCCCATTTCAGTGTGGCCGTTCAGAAAATATATCCCCGTTGTTTCATCATAACCAACCTTTCACCGAGTTAATATTTCTAGAAATTTTAACCAAATTTCTGTAAAATACACTCATTTAACTATCTTAGTGCGGCCGCAGCCATTATTAATAATATAACAACCATTAAGGGTGGGGTAATTCCTCAAGCAATATCATTCATAGTCTATATAACGACAAGTACAAGGCTGTAAGGTGTTCTTCAACTTCACTTACGTAGAGTACCCTAGTGGTATAGCACGCTCATATACCGCGTAACTAATCAGAGAGCAGTATGTTGAAGCTCGGGATAAAAATGGACCGATTAAAGGCCCATATTCGCATCGCGTAGAATGCCTGGACATCATTAATTATTCATCAGCACTGAAGCGGGAGATTTGAAGGCACTCGCGCCTTGAAAAGCCCATAATTAGAGAAGAAAGGGCCGAAACTAGCTCAGCAGCGTTCATAAAATTCGGTTTTTCATTTGCCAAAGGCAAAAATTGAGAAACCCAAGAACGGGTTTTTGAAGAAGAAGGGTTAATCCTTAATTTAAGCTTAAAAAGGGGAAGTTTGAGAACGTATAAGGACTATTCCTGAGCCTTTGAAAATGACCAAAAAACGGACATTTTTAGTATGAAGGACGATTTCAAAAGCGATTTTTCAAAAACTCAAACCGGCTTCTAAAAACCCAAGAGCGGGAAATAGAAGATGGATCTTTCCTGACTGACAGAATCCGTTTTAACTTGAGAAATTGGTGAACGGCAACTACTATTCCTCGCAGTTTTAAAATTTGTAGTCGAAGTTCCTTTCGAAAAATGGCACGTTTCGAGTTCGACACTATTGTTTTAAGCCCACGCTTGAATAACAATGGCTGCCAAAACTAAACAATGCCCTATTCAAGAAAACCACTCATTTGTAAAATAGACGATTTACCGCGAGTTTTAAAAATGATCTTAGCGCATCAGCTGCTTTATGCAACTAAACCACGCGATGATGAATGATCAAAGAAAAAATGATCGTGACGGGAGCTCTTTTCAGAGCCCATAGAACCCCCGATCCACCCTCATCTTACACAAGTAGTTCCAGAGTCTTTAATTTGTACATGACCCGTCGAGGACTCTTCGTTTTTCACCTATTATGCTTTTGTTTTTTGAAATCTATTTTCTGTTGAAGGAGACCAGAATTGAGATGACTGATGCCCTGATAATTTTTCTTATAAAGTTTTGAATGATTGCTGCAGGGTCATTTAAGTTCAATGACTGTGTGGAAGGTGAAATAAAAGCTGTATACTTGGTCAATTTCCTACTTAAACCCGTGAAATGTGTAACTGTCACAATGTTAATTGCGCCGATGGGTTGGAGGCTTTAAACGCTCCCTTCCCCTGAACAACCCACGGGCATTTTACCGTCGTCCGTGCCCGGAGGGGTAGGGAATATGATCCTCGCTTTGGTGGGTGGGGCATTTAAACCGGAAGTGTTAAGGCTCTCCAGCGTAGTAACGTGTTTTAATTCAGTAGTTTGAAATGAAAGAGTTTGCTATTGAGAGCAAATGGCTTAGAAAGACAATCTTCCTATCGTAGATTGATACTCAGAGTGAAAAGCCAAACAGCAGCACGAAAACCTGATACGTGTCGATACGTGACTTCAGCCTATAGGTTTGCATACGAGGAGGGTACTAGGGGATAACCGTTAGCGGGCGGTCAGACAAAGTATACATAACGATTTCTCGCCTTACTTCATAATCGATATTCAGGGAAGTAGAATGACTTCAAGCTATTTATCGACGAGAGGACTTAAAATAGTTAAAATAATCGCCTGAATTTCGATGTGTTTGCTGCAACTAGCAAAAACAAAAAACTCAAAGGCAGTCCATCTGGGTAGTCCATGTACTAGGGGTTAGTGTTTTGTTCATCACACGGAATATCACCTGAGGCAATTCTGCTGTACATGTGATACACACACGTGATGGTCGAGTGTTAGCTTGTGTTTCCTACTCTCATGAGCTCAAACTTATAATCAATTTTGCGTGTCAAAAGCATGTATATGTCTTTGGCAGATAATGTTGGGAAATACAAGCTTTTCAATACTATATACAGTACTACCGTAAAGCGGTATGTCAATAGGACGTTAATGACCAGACAACTCAGAAATAGTAAAGAAGCCATAAGACAGTGATAAAAAAACAAGCAGTGTAAAAGAAATGCATATTGTTGATTTTCACCAATATAACGACAAGTTTAATGAAGCATGAAGTATTCATAAGTCGACTATTATTGGCATAAAAATCAGAGGCAATGTGCCAGTTTTTCGATAAACGCGGCTATCCTGTTTCTGTCGTTCAAGCGGGCTACCACCGTGCCCAACTAATCGATCGACAGGCAGCACTAAAAACGGCCGAGAAGGAGAACACTGACCGCATTCCATTTACTCTTACATTTCACCCTCACAACCACGCAGTTAAATCTATCATTCTTAAAAATTTTAAATTACTCCAAAACGATTCAGAGACTGGCACTATCTTTTCGCAACCCCCACTTATTTCATTCAAACGCGACAAAAACATAGGCAACTTTTTTAGTTAGGAGTTCATTTCAAACCTATGACCAATCTGGAACTTTTAAATGCGCTCGCTCACGATGCAAAACTTGTCCTTTCATTCATAACGTAGAGAAAATATCGGGACCCAAAAGATCCATTAAGATCATTGATCACTTTACGTGTACCTCCGCCAATATTATTTACTGCATAACTTGCACTTATTGCAATAAGTTATACATCGGCGAAACAGGAAGACGACTGGGTGACCGATTCCGAGAACACCTTCGCGATGTGGAAAGAAATGACAAGGACGCATCCAAACCAGTCGCTAGACACTTTAATCTTCCTTATCATTCTAAACAGCATATGGCAGTTTGCGGCCTTTCCTTACATCTAGGCAGTTCGGAAAGCCGTAAAACACTAGAACAAAAATTTATATTCCAAATCGGCACCCTTAATCCCCACGGAATCAACGAGCGCTTTTCATTCAACTAATTTATTCCTGTTTTCTCGTCACCACATTCCCACCAATGGCGTAGCTCCACTTCCTACCTATAAATCCACACACAACCCACAATTCCTCTAATCGCTCTGACGAAGGGCTAACGCTCGAAACGTCAGCTTTTTTACCCTTTACGGTGGCTAATTTACGTTTTCAACCCAGTTGTTAACACTAAATTACCTGCTATTATTGGCATATTTAGAGGAACACCTGTCCCACTCTGTACTAACTGTCGCACTCTGCAATAAAATTGTCGCACTTTATCAGGACAGATCATCGTCCCTGTCAATAAAAAAAATAGTTCCGAAAAATGTCACTCACGGACAACACCTTAGTCAAAGCTTGCGAATACTTTCAGCTTGCTTCAAATTATATGTGTAAAGGTCGAAAAAAAAATTATATTTCATATTTGTAAATAAGCAAGCTTTTTAATTACCCAACTTTTAAAAACTCCCTGAGGTCTGCTATTGTCAGACGAAACCCGTAGGAAATTTTAAAAAAGTTTCCACTTTTTCGGTTCGCCCAGTGCCGCTAAATAGTTTATCATTAACTAAAAACTGTTAAAAAAGAAACCGAATTTTCGAACCGAAATGAATCGGACCGCTTTTAGAGAGACTGGTTTATCAGGCACATTCGCCTTCCGACCAGCTGTACCAAATTTATTTCAAAGTGCGAAAAGCGCTGTTACAAAGTGCGACAGCCCTATTAATACAATGTTCAAGTGTTACTGTATTACAAAGCGCGACAGTTATTTAATAGTGCGGCGATTATTTCAAAGTGCAAAACAACAGACCTATATATGCCAGCTTTGATGCAGCCATTTGCAAGAAGAAAAAACAAAAAGAATAGCTGTTTGTAAAGTTTTTAAAAAACGTGCGAGAATAATTATGATATCCTGCTATTGTATTAACTAAGATTAGTGCCAGAATTCATTAATTAAACATAAAAGTTATGAAAACATATTGCTCTGAGAGAAGAGTTATTGGGCCATCTATCATATCAAACAAGAAACAAATCGAGAGACACGCAGAAAGTTGCTTTGTGTGATAAAGTACTCATAACTCGGCTATCTTTGGTGTTTAGCACAACCCACTCTAAATTTAAAGACACATTTCAGCAGAGGTAAATTAAGCTTAGTTGAGTTAGGGTAAGTAATCTCTTTTGCATTTATAAGATCATGTAACAAGTTTCTTTCCTTTCTTTGTTTGGGTTTTGGTGCGGAAGTATTAGAAAGTTGGTCTGGTTCGTTCGTAAAAATTGACGACAAAATAAGTGCTGACGGTTACCAAAGGGGGTAACTCTTTCTAATGACGAAAAAAGAGAAGAAAGATTGGCCAATATAGAATTGCAGTTCATGTCTAGTGTGCGTACATCGGGGTATGGATTCATGATCACGCGGGGAAGTTTGGAGAGGAGGAGAAAAGCGCAATAGTCGCTCGAGGCGCAGCTGAGATCAATTTTATCTGCTTTAGTGCTCTATGACGTAGCTGACACAACTTGTGCACGAAAACAGCGTTTTATCCGAAATGTCGGTTTTACCATATATTATCTTGTTATCCAAAAAGTTGGTGCCACAAATAAAATGCAAGACAAAATGATTAAGAAATATTTCTAGACCAATTCGTTATTCAGACAAGAGCTAATTGATAGAAGAGAGAAGCAATAGTCATTTATTCACTGACTCTATATTCTAATATTTTTCGAGCTTTGTTAAGGTTATTTTCACGGCCAGCCTGGCGAAGCTCTTTCGCTCTTCTATCCAACACCTGCTTGGACGGTACTAAGTAAAATCTCTTTCCGGTACAATGGAACGGCTGTAGTCCTTGTTCTTCAAGGCGATTTAGCGATAATCATGATTTTAAGGCTTTCTAGGCCATATTCCATCTCATATTTGTTTCGGCGTAAAACCGCTCTAGTAAACTGTTCAGCCGGCTCTTAGTGTTCGATTTGTATAGGTAACAACAAGGTTTTAAACGCAATTTGGTGTTAATAAGCACAAGTCAATGGATTTTACTAGAAGCGGTAATGGAGAATAGAGAATATAGAATAGTTAATAGGGAATGGCAGACCTTTTAGTTTCAAGATGAAAAAAATAGTTATATTTTCATTTCAGTGTCTTTGATACATAACACTTTTGCTAAAAAGAGATTTAAAGTTACTTCTGAAAATTAAAGAAAAAACATCCTACGCTTCGTGTGATGATGAATTCATAACTTGACTGTCATTGGTATTTAGGACCAGCACCTGTCGACATTGAGTACAACCCACTTGACATTTGGAGACATACTTCTGCCAAGGTAAATTGAAGCCGAAATTCGATATTTCTATTCCAAACATAAATTGTCATCGAACTTTAAGAAAATTGAAAACCTCGGTGCTGTCAGTACAGAAGTAAAGAAAACCAATATCTGACATCAAAACTCTTCCGGTTGTTTTAAATTACAACAACGACCAAACGCCAACCACTGCTTAAGGAAAAATCGTCGAAAAAAATAAACAAATAGATCACTTTTTTTAGCCTTTCAACGCGACCCAATGCAATAAGCGGAAACGGTAATCTTTTTTTAATAAAAATAATTTTTGAGGGCTGATTGTATGGGACCTGGATTGTGTCTCGGTTCATAAAAAAGCAGAAAAAGAACTCGGCCAATATCTAGCTCTCTTTACTCCACGCTTGTTTCAATAACGCATATAAAGTGCAGAGTCACTTCTTACTACTGTCGATGTTACATTTGACAAGGTGGATGATGTCATGTGTTTTAAACGTCTATCATTTTTGTTTCTGGTTCAAAAGAAAAGGTTGGAAGTAAATGTGGGTGAAAAGTAAAACTTACTGTCTTTCGTTGTAAATATTAGAAAATCAAGGCAATACTGTCTTAATGAAAACATTAACGATTCCCTCTTTATCAAATGAGACAAACGGGAACGAGTTTTGAGTGATATAACTAAGCCAAGCCTGTCACCGTCATTTTGGATCTCCGCCTGGGTAGATTTAAGTCACGTGCTAGGCAACGTATAATCAATAACAAGATAGAATTTCATTTCAGGCCTATTTATCAATTTTGTGGTGTGTAACTTTCGCATTTTAGTACGTTGTATGTATGTTGAATCTTCAAATTGTCTTGAAACTTAAAAGAAAATTGTTCTTTAAAAATTCACTGAAAATCGGTAGCTAAAATTGTTTGTTTAGGTGTTATTTGATTTTCGTGTTAACTTGTTATTTCGTCAGTCGCCGGCATCTTCTGTTGCTTCACACAGGAAAAACACACGCGACGAAACGTAATGATCAATTTTGTCCTCAATCTCACGCTATAACAGAAAAAGCTTTTGAACATCTGTAAACTCCGAGCGCTTAGCAGTAAGTGATATTTTCAATGAATCTTCGGATTGTTTTCAAGTTCAAGGATTGTAAATAACAATTTTATGAAAAACGAAGGTTGTTCTTTTATTTCAGTGTGAATCCTTGCATGCCTGCCAGTCGCTGGCGCCGCTTGTTGAAACTAAAACGAAAAAAAAAAACTCTTTTAAGATTATCATTGGCTTCTTTTTCACCCCATCACTATTCTTAGCAACAAAGGTCGCCATTTCGTCTGTTTATTGCTCGCCAAAAACTATAAAATGCACTCAAAAGCCTAAAATCTAAAAAAAAGTTTACAGGAATCGACCAATCGAGCGAGCGAGCGAGCGAATTCCATTCCCCACATCGTATCTATAACTCGCTCTTGCGCATGCGCGCAATTCACGAGTTAAAAAGCAGAAAAAGAACTCGGCCAATATCTAGCTTTCTTTACTCCACGCTTGTTTCAATAACGCATACAAAGTGCAGAGTCACTTCTTAATGCTGTCGATGATTAGTTTTTCGTAACTTAATTGAACAGAATCGAACACGTTCGTGTGTTTAATGTTTATACGTTCAACTAGTGGAGACCAAAGGAAACTAGAACAAAACCTTTTTGTATTGATTTATCCTTCTAAGGTGTAAATTGAAGTATTCATTTGATTGAAAATCCGTAACTAAGTTTATCTTAGCATTGTTAACTGGGTTGATAGGTACTTTATCTATGTGCAGGAATTGGCACCTACATTCACCTCAGAATGAATCCAAAGTTCTGGCTGGCAACCATGTTTCTGATGTCCCGGATTGGTGTACTCAACGCCAACAGCCAGTGTCATTTGATGGAAAGCTCCATTGGCGGAATGTACCTGAGAGGTCACGTGTTTAAAACGTATCGCGATCAGTTGCCTAAAGAGTGTTATTTCCGATGTGAAGAAGAAGTCACGTGTCAGAGTTACAATGTCGTCATTGGTCAAAACATCTGTGAATTGAACAACCGTACAAAGGAAGCAAGACCGGAAGATTTTATGCCGGATCAGATGAGATTTTACATGAAGCGTTCTAGAAACAGAGGTACCCTTTACGTTCCCTCGACTAACCTTTTTGCATTTCTGGGCAAACTTGTTTTTTGAATTTTTCATTCACGATTTAAGAAACTCAAATATCAGAGAAACAAAATTTATAGATTCAGATATATTCCTATGGCGAGCCTTTTGATGATTCAATTTCGGGGATTGTTTCAATATTGGTAAAGCATTTCAAAATACAGAGACAAGTCCAAATAACAGAAACGACGTTTTGGAATCATCGTCTCATCAACGTCATCGTGGGACTTAATTATGAAGTCAAGCAACTCTTTTCCTTAGTCAACTTGAAAATGGTATAACGATGATATGGAAATGTTGGCCTGTTTCGCTGCGTTATTGTTGCTGTGTTCCATCTCACTTCTTAGTCTAGATCTGATAGAATTAGCACAGATTTATTTCTTTCTGCTTTTACGCAGGCAGGAAAGGTTGGAGGTTTTTTTTCCTCTCCTGCCGCATCAGGAGGTATCGAACTGCATGATGGTGTAAACTTCTTTCCTGAAATTCGTTTTTTCTGACGTAGTTCCCCTCGGATCTATCAAAGAACTTCCAGCGGAAACCTGTGGTGAGATTGAGGCGAGTGAAGGGAACCAGATGGCTGACGGGAAATACTGGATTTACTCTGAAGAGAATAGCGAGGTCATCGAAGCTTATTGTAAAGGTAAATTGTTTAACTAAATTTCTCATTCATCACCCTCCTTGACGTGTTCTCCTTACCCGATTTTTTTTTTAACTTAGCAAAATAACATCTCGTCGCAGTGTAAAAAAGAGAATTATAGTAAAAGAGGGGTTTGTTTTCAGTGATTCCAATAGAACCGTAAACTCGGAGAAGAGGATTAGTCAATGACATGAATTGTTCTTTCCCTTATACAAAATGTTTTTAATGGCGTATGGGAATAGATTGAAACAACAACTCAGATCACGACGTCAAAAAGAACAATGTTTTCACTTTTTTATCATTGAAATTTATCCTGCAAATGGCCGTTAGTTACTATTCGAAAATGCATTGGCCAACAGTAGCTATTTTTTTAAATACAGTTTAATTAACTTTCAAGACTATCTACCTATCCTATTAATATATCTTAGAGAGCTGGCAAAAGATAAATGGTGAAGAACCCGTCTGCTTTGGAGCCAAAGATAACCAATATGGTTCCTTCAATATGACAAAGCATGGACGAGTGAAGACAATGAAGCTTATTCACAGGTCAGGGTCGGTGCGCTGCAACAATTTTACTATTTCATCCTACTGGGGCTGCACCTGGCCAAAATATGGAGAAAATCTGATGACAATCATCGCAGATGCCAATAAGAAGGCCATTCTGCCCCCTGCCGAAGACTTGAAAGCTTTTAAAGCTCATTTTGATAACAAAGAACACTTTTACAGTCTTCCTGGATATCACCATAACTCAACTGAGCTCGTTTTTCACAACCTTGTCAATCCATTGTCTGTCTCGAGCAACCAAGAGATGCAGATATGGTACGGACAGGATTGGATGGACCGCGGAGAGGAAGACAACAGCGGTAAAACTTGTGTTGATGTGTACGCATGGTATGAGTGAGTCTGCCCATTGAAGATCTTGCCTTCGATAGCTCTAAAACGTAGAAGAAAAACATTAGATTATAAAAGAACGCCATTCATGTACGAGATCCCGGGTAACACTTATAGGAAGACAAACCTGTTTCAATGTTTAAGGACTGCTATGTCTTCTTTCTATACCCGACAGAAAAGAGAAAGACCGTGGGGATCAGAATAATTTTTATTAAAATGTCGCTGAAGATCACGGAGGAAGACCTAATATCTTTCAGTTAATTAGTTTTACTTAGGTTTGCTCAGCATGGTACACCGCACTAGGTAGTAAGGTACACTCTCTCAGTATTCATAGTCGAGTGCAATTTTAAATGCATGGGTGAGAAGGTTTAATTTCAATAAATTCATACACATAAGTGGTTATTTATAATGGATTTCGAACTCAAGCTCGATTTCAAAAGAGGAAAAACTGGAAGCGAAATAAAACTAAACAATTGCGGAAGGCAAAAGAAAGGAACGAACACAAAACAAAAACGTACACCCTTCCGAAAAATACTCTCCTCAGTTTTATTTTTCATCATAACATCCAGGACGTGTGATCCTTCCGAAAACTCCCCTAAATAATTCTTGGATAATCAACGCCAGGAAAAAACCTTAACTGAGGGCACTTGACTAAATCAGTTCTATCCAGATGTTTTTTTTTTTAATTAGTGAAATGATGTACATCTTCAAAAGTTATCAATGAGGAAAATTTATCTGCGTATACATTTTTATAAAAGTATAGGGCTGAGTAGAGTTTAAGGCAGTTTGTAACTATACGAGTGAGCAACAAAGTCTGACAATCGCGAAGCTGGAGTAAGAGATGTTAATCACAAACAAAATTGTTCGACCCAGTTTCTTGTTACCAATTAATGAAGACTATCACATCCTCATCAGTTACATTCATTCAAACCTGACAATTTAACAATGTACCATATTTGAATGAACTTAACGCTTACGAATGAGGCAAAATATGCTAAACATGATGTGCAAACTGCCCTTTTTACACATTTGTGATGACGTGCAAACTTTCCTATCGCTGTTTGTGCTCGAGTCAGGATGCTGATGATCAAACAACCTCCTCAAATTTGTTATAGTTTTGATTACACACAGAATGCGAGGACACAAATCCGTCAGTGGTTAACTTAACTCGACCAAATATGAAACAATGGATGAACATCATGGAAAAATCAACGGTCGCTTGAAAGGGTAATTTAGAATTATCAAACTGAGTTGATAACTGACTGTGAATATATGCATATAAACCCGCTTACAACCCACAACTCCTCTAATCGTTCTAACGAGGGGGAAAGTATGCCGAGTCGGGATGCCCACGGATCTCCACGGTATCAAAAAGCGCTTTTCATTCAACTAATTTATTCTTTTAGAATAAGAGAGTTTGTAAATTTTGAGCTCGGTAAAGGTATAGAGAAATGGTATTTCTGACGAATGAGTCTGCGAATAAGGCAGAAACAAATATTTTGTCGGCACGAGATACGACAAGGCCTGGGCCTTAGGCCCGAGCATCATGGGTAATGATGCAGTGGTATATAAGGGAAAGTATAGCACGTGGTGTCCATCTAGGCCTCAGAACCAACCGTTCACCTCTGGCTGATGACAAATTCAGTGGCCTCTTGGAGCAGACCGTTTCTCAGATCAAACGGTCGAACGAAGAATCGGCGGAAAGTCAGATGAAGGAGACCAAGCGCCTTAAATTCAACGAGTCTCTTAAGAAAAACAAAGTGACTAGAGGACCGCTACAACTCAGGTGTAGTTCTTTCCTTTGTTAATATCGAAGCTATTAGTTTGCCTTCGCAATCGGAATTAGACTGTGAAATAGACTGTGATCGTTGTAATTAGCCCGGCGGGCTTTTTGTATTCACCGCGGAAGTTTTCTCTTGTGGGTGCAAATGTGATTTTGTTTCAGTCAATTCCAGCGTAATTGCTCTAAGTCCTTTGTACTTAGCTTATGGGTTGTTTGGCACTTACTCAGGCTTGAAGTGAATTAAATCATAGAATTGCTCGTCAATATTGCGTATTGCGTTATGACACGAGTTTGTGTCACGAATTTATTCAGCATTGTTTGAAATTAAAGGGACCCATTTGTGATCCACTTTGCAGATTCCAGTTGTCTATGTATTCTCTGTTGGAGTTTGATTATTCCCGGTTATTCTATTTTTATTTGTCTATTTCTTTAGTTATTTCTTGTTGGATTGTACTCCTCACTTTGACTTATTTTATCTCTCGTTTAGATATTTTTCATTCGGGATTTAGGGCATTCCGGGACGGACCGCTTTACAACTTGCTTGAAGGACTGAAAGATCGACCGAAGACGACTGTGCTCTCTTCCAAAGCAAATGGGACTGATGGGACTGTTATGGTTTAACGATGTGTCTAGAATAAGAAGTGATATTTCCCTTAAAAAAGGCTTCATGATTATTAAGGTTTTGAAAAGCAAGAATGTCCAGCTCCGTCGACGGCGACGGAGTCGTTATCTTATAATTATCTAGTTCTGTATGCCCCGTTGACTTGCTTAAGAGGTGTTTAGTTATGTTTAAGATACACCCTGATTCCAAAGATTTTATTTCAAGCCTATTTCTAAAGGGAAGGGCTCTTGCAAGCTTGTTGCCCGCGATAAGCCCATTAGTTACTCTACAATTAGAGGGGCTTTTCGCTGGGACCTGCAAAGTCTCGGAGTTGAACCGTCCAAGTTGGGTTTGCATTCTCTAAGATCTGGGGGAGCCATTACGATAGCAAGTAATGGAGTAAACGACAGAGTTTTCCAACGACACGGTTTTTGGAAATCGGTACAAGCCAAAGACACATACGTAGACGATAATTTTGAACAATGACTCGAAGTATCGCGTTTTCTTGGGCTCTGAAGGCGTTTTCGTGTTTTTGGTGGTATTATATCACCTAGCCTCGTGCGTCTTGCCCAATTGTTTGTCAGTCTATATATGCCTCGGGTTGGTTCTCGGCAGGCTTCCCTAATTAAACTTATTTGGTGTACACTACTGTGTTATTTGTTGTGTAGTGGAGACAAAATATGGTATTTCTGACGAATGAGTCTGCGAATAAGGCAGAAATAAATATTTTGTCGGCACGAGATACGACAAGGGCTGGGCCTTAGGTCCGAGCATCATGGGTAATGATGCAGTGGTATATAAGGGAAAGTATAGCACGTGATGTCCATCTAGGCCTCAGAACCAACCGTTCACCTCTGGCTGATGAAAAATTTATTTTAGTTTGAAAACATATTTTCTTTAGCTGTGAAGCCTCGTAGAATGGGCTGCCAACTGCTCTGAGTTTGGGCCATGGTTCCTACCCAGATTTCCTGTCGTGTTTTTCCCCAAAGGGGTTTTTTCTGGCCTCTGTATAACCGTAGTTATGTCCTTGTAAGCGGTTGCCCATCTCTGTTAATCCAGACTTGGTGAATTTTGCATGTTAGTAATGTATACCTTTTTTTAATGTGTAAGGAATTGACTGTATATCAGGATTGTGTATGGTATATCAGTTGCGAATATATGTATGTATGCATTCCCCGGGCTATATATGCCTCGGGTTGATTCTCGGCAGGCTTCCCTAAATAAACTTATTTGGCGTACACTACTGTGTTATTTGTTGTGTAGTGGAGACAAAATTTCACGTTTCTGTCCGCAGTTCAAATATGTGATTTTGATATATTTACAGTCATTACTTCAGCCTGTAGGTTTGCATACTAGGAGGGTCTCAAATAGAGGCTAACCATTCGCCATAAAACGGTAAGAAAATGTAGCTGTTAGGAGAAAAAATCGGCAATTTTCAAACCTAGAATCGATTTAACGACTTAAAAAAACTTTGTGAATGAAAGTGATCGTCGCAGTAATGTACATTACTCGAGCAGTAATGAAAATAAGGCCGGAAAAAGACAAAGAAAATTCAAGCCTGTACGGGACTCGAACCCATGACCTCTGCGATACCATTGCAGCGCTCCACAAACTGAGCTAACAAGCCAACTGGGAGCTGATTATTATGTTGGTTCTAAGTAAACCCGTGAAGTGACGAATAAACGGTGAAGAATATATGAAAGTCGTATATCTGAACTGCGGATAAAGACGTGAATGAAAGTGATCCTCGCAGTAATGTCGCTACTTGAGCAGTAGTGAAAATAAAGCGCTGCACCGGTATCGCAGTTCATTAGCGTTTAAAAAAGCTTTAAAAAGCCATCACCCCATTGAGACCCTTAAGTGATAGTCTTGGTTTGTTGGAAAAGGGACACGAGTAAATACTGATATTGTTATAGCAAATCATAATGACAGGTATTTGATTTAAACAAGGAGCTTGTGCCAATGAATCCTAGCACAGGTTCCGTGCAATTTGAGCAAGAGTATTCAATGCAATCTCAAAAATATTATTACATGTTACACTAAGGTTACTTACACAGCAAAATTATATAATCACACAATTCCAAACAAAGGAAGTCAGGTTATTGACTCACCTGCTTCAACTTTTGAGGACTTAAGGTACAGAGAAATAGATACGGTAAGCAGTTACAATTTATACAAAGTTAAAAGTTTGAAAGCTCAAAGATACACATTCTATGTTACATGAAACTTCGTTATGAATGTCAAGTGGCAATCTCTGTAAGAGCGGTCCAAGGCATTTCGCATCGGAAAAAAATTGAGTTCGCCCGTCTCTGCTGTCATTGCTAACATGGTAATGGAAGACGTGGAACAATGGACCTTAGCCTCTCGACCGGTTAAACCCTTTTTCTGGAAATGATATGTCGATGATGTTATTTCTGCGGTATCCGGAAATGAAGCGGAGCGCCTCTTGTCGCATTTGAATTCAGTAGAGCCGTCGATCCAATTCACCCTTGAGCGTGAAAAGGATAGACATTTGCCCTTTCTTGATTTAAAAGTGTCCAGTGGGGTCCAGGGTAATTTAGAGACTAGTGTCTACCGTAAACCTACCCACACCGACAAATACCTCGCCTTCGATTCTCACCACCCT